CCACCCCCGTCGCCCGCAGGCCCCGGCGCGTCCTGGGCACCTGCCCGCCTCTCCTGCGCCACGGGCTGAGCTCGATCCTTCCCGGAGCTCCTGATCTGGACACAGCACGGGAAAAACAGCACAAGAAACGGTGTGGTGGGCACGCGACGCTTCCAGTGCGTGCCACGTCCCCACCGGCCCACTGGCCTGCGGCCCGCAGCCCGCACGGCCGCCGGCAAGGAGACGCGGGCACAGGAGCCCTCGCGTGTCGCTGCCCCCACGGCCCCTCCCACGGCCCCTCGCCCTCTGCAGGACTGCTGGGGCCACCGCTGTGGCCTACTCTGCCAGGGTGGACGCCGGGCAGGCCAGGCCGGCCCAGGGCCCTGACTGCCCCTGCCAAGCAGCTGTGGAAATGTGAACCGGGGCTGACGCCCGCAGGCCTCCCCCAGCACGGGCCCCAGGGGCCGGCAGCGCAGGGGCGCGGGAGGAGGGCCCCCAAAGCCAGCAGCCCCGTGCTGGAGAGGCCTCCGCTGGCCACAGGCCCTGGGCCTGCGATGAGAGCTGAGCGCATGCCGCCGTGACCCAGACAAGCCCCTTGAGCCCCGCGGCGCTGGCCGGGGCGTCCGGGCGGGCAGGCCCGAGCTACTGCAGGCGCCACCTGCCCGCCGGGCCCCCGCGACCGTCTGGCCGAGCTTCAGGCTAGGACATCCAGGCCAGCTCTGCTGGGGCTTGGGGTGCTGCAAACGACGCCCCTGAGAGGCCGGGGGCACATCTCGGTCCCGCAGTACCTTGGTGGGGGAGGGCGTCCAGGTCCCGGTCACTTGGGGAGACTGCAGAATGACTTCGTCCGGAAACAACACTTTGAAGTGAGGAGAGCCAGGAGGGAGCCGCTCAGAGCTCTGGAAGGCCCCGCCGAGGCAGTGGCCCGGCCCGGCCGCGCGGCCACTGTCCTTGGAAAGCGCCAGCCTGGGCGGCAGGGCACGTGGGCCCAACGCGCGACTTGGCTGGGGTGCGGGGGGTCCTACCCTTCACACCCAGGTGCACGGCCTGCTCCAGCGCAAAGTGACAGCGTCGGCTGGTGGTCCTGCGGGAGGGGACAGCAGGCCCGCCTCGAGTCCGCGCTGGCGGCCACCACGCAGGCCGGGCGGGAAGTCGGCTTGCCCAGGGCCTGGGCCGGTCACGCCCACGCCTCGGAGCGCGGTGGCCACCCGCGGCTTTCCGAGGAAGAACGTGGGGGCTCGGGCCAGGGGAGGAGCCGAAGGCACGGCGCAGGGTGGGCCGGGACGCCCCAAACCCCGCTGCGAGGACGGCGGAGCGAGAGCCAAACGCAGGGCCGCGCTGGCTGGCGGAAGCACGGGTGGGGCTAGTGCCACCTGTGAGTGGCCGGCCAGCCGCCA